AGAGAAATAGGAATTGCTGCTTTTGAAAATTGTCAGTCTCTTTAGTAAGTAAATGATGCTAGAATTGAGAAGTGGTTTTCAGGCATAGATTAAATTCAGAGCATTTGCAGGAAAATAAGGCCTAAAAAGGAGTTGAGGATGTGATTGTAAAATTCTTTACGTTCTTAGATTCAAGATGGTACCTTGCAGATCTGTCCAGTCAAGCAATAGGGCTTCTAAAAACCTTAAGGATATTGTCCTCCAATGATCTCAGCAGGAGACCAAGGTAGAGAAGGGCTACTATTGAAGAGATTCATGGGTGCAACTTTTGTCTAATGGAGTGAACCCCAGTAAGATTCACAGAAGATCTGTAGCATCTTTGAGAGAATTGTATTTGCAGAAACACTGCCAGCTGAGACTGAAAGGAATAGAGAATTATTAAATGAAGAGACCCTTAATTCTCTCAATTGCTATGGGTCGGGTAAAGAAGTAGATTGAAAAACCCACATAGCCACAAAGAGAGGCTACTTTTCGGTGAAAAGCGAAGATGACTTTTAGGGTGGCACCAAGAATCCAGAGGGTGTAGCCAAAAACCATGAAGTATAACCTGGCCTTGAGACTTCATGAAGGAACTGCCAACCTGTATCTTGAAGGATTTCAGAATTTCTGTGGACCAGTGACTCCTGTGTGCCTTTCATTTCTCTACTGTCTGACCTGGAGTGTCTATAGTGATTATCTTACACCTGTCACTCTACTGCATGTTGGGAGTGTGGGAGCAGGTAACTTGTCTTAGTTCACTGGCATTCAAGTTGAGAGAAACTTTACTCAAGGGCCATACTTAAGGAACTACACCTGAAGAGCCTCAGACACTTCTGTATCTGACTTAGATGATGAAATTTTGGACTTTGAGTTCGCCTTGTAAAGAGATGAAAATTTTTGGACCTTAGTGTATTTTGCAGATGGTTGGGATGTGAATCACTGAGGTGGGTCCAGAGAGTGAAGTGTAGCAGACAGTCCCCCAGAAAGCCCCGCATGAATCTCACCTCCTGGTGTTTATGTTCTTGTGTACCTACATGGAATAGGCCTGACCTGTGTAACCAAGAGGATGTTGAGGAAATGATGGAATGTGACTTCAAAAGCTACATCATAAGACAGTGCAACTTCCATCTTGCTCTCTTGGATCACGGGCTCTATCAAGCAGCCCTTTGGAGATGTCCATTTGATAAAGAACTGAGGCTTCCTATTAACAACCAGCCCTGATTTGTCAGTCACATGAGTGAGCTGCCTTGGAAACAGCTCCTCCAAGCTCCAGGAAAGCCTTGGGATGACTGTAGTCATGGCTGACATCTCAATTACAACCTAATGAGAGGTCTCCCAATTTGGAACTATTCAGCTAAGACCACTCCTGAATTACCTTCAGAAACCATGTGAAATCATAAACACCTATTCCCTTAGGCTGCTAAATTTGGGGATAATGTATTATGCACCAATAGATAACTAGTAGGGTACTACAGTGAACAAATACAAACCTTGATTATCTTGGTAGATCTTTGTGGCTTCCCCATCCTATCTTAGTGGTAAGTACTGCTGTTCCTGATCATAAAACTCTCTAAGTTACCCTAGCCCACTCCACCCCACACCTACTATGACTGCTTTATAATTGATTCAAGGATAAGGGGTGTAAGGGAGATTGGAGACAATATGAAAATCTTAAAGCCATGTATCTGTTCTTGCCTGCCTCTCAGAGGGCCAGTTTTAGAACCATTAATTTGTAGTGTTTGTCTTTATTCACAGTCATAGAAAAATAGAAAGCCTTGGGATGACTGTAATCATGGCTTTATTCACAGTCATAGAAAAATTTAAAGCTAAAAGGAGCCATTAGATACATCTAGGGTTCATTGTTTTCGTGTGTGTGTGTGTGTGTGTGTGTGTGTGTGTGTGTTGGTTTGTCTTTGAGAAGCCACTTTTGGTCCTGAAAGTACAGGGTTTATAGATGTTTAGAGCAGGATTTTGACATGAAGTATTTTATGGAAGTTGGGTAATGAAATATTTGTGTGATGGGTTGGGCCAGGGAGGTTGAGCTTCCCTTCTCTTGCAGAGAAAAATGATTGCCCTTGATAATGGGTTACAGATTCACAAACTACTCATTTCAGGGGTGAGGAAAATGGGGCCAGAAATGTTAACTCTCTTTCCAAAGCCACACAGTTGTTTAGGGACAAAGCTAACTTGGAGTTCTGGCTACTGGTCCAATTAGATAAGATTTGTTTTAATTTGTCCTTTATTTTCCCTTTTATTTTTGCTAATTTCAAGTGAAAATGATTTCATTAAATGAGAAGTAAATACTTCCCTTTTAATGTGTTGAGCTGGGTGTGGCTTCTTGAAGTTTTAACTGACAAGAAAATTTTATTTTATGATTTTATATATACCCTTAGGGACCTCTTTGCCTGGATCCTTTGAAATTGCAAGGAATAGATTACCAGTGCGCTCAAGTCCAGTAGGAATGACTGAGACTACATTACCGATCTTAGTACAACCTGGTCCTGCTGCATAGGCCATGTGTGACTTTGTTTACAAAGCTATTTTGTGTTAAACTTGAGCATCATTGAACGATTTAAAATACATTCTGCTTTTTTGGTTAAAATGAAGGCTTTATTTAAGACTAGAATTTAACCATATTAATTTGTATCGTCTCTTGAACTTTGTCTTCAATTAAGTAGAGTCACTTTAGATATCAAGTGCTTTCTCTCTACTTTGGTGGTTTTTGAGGAGAGTTTGGCTTTATTTATCTATCCTTATCAACCTGTACCTATTTGTCAACCAGATGAATGCTACTATGTTTGTATAAAATATGTGAAGAATTGTTTTGGGTCTCATTTGACTAAGTTTACTTTTAGTTTAACCTTATTTTAATATTGTATGTAATACTTTAAACGTTCAGAACCAAATTGGTTGAATTGGTGTGAAGACTTCTAATGGTTTGTTTTTCCTTTATTGATATGAGACTTACGTCCTGTGTGTATTAGTTCATTTTCACACTGCCATAAAGAACTGCCTGAGACTGGGTAATTTACAAAGCAAAGAGATTTAATTGACTCACAGATCTGCATGGCTGACTGGAAAGGCCTCAGGAAGCTTATAGTCGTGGCGAAAGGGGAGACAGACACGTCTTACATGGTGGCAGGTGAGAGAGAGAGAGAGTGAAGGGAGAAGAGCCCCTTATAAAACCACCAGATCTCCTGAGAACTCACTATCTCGAGGACAGCATGGGGGAAACTGCCCCCATGATCCAATCACCTCCCTCCCTTGGCCTGCGGGGATTACAGGTCCCTTCATTGACATGTGAGGATTACAATTTGAGATGAGATTTGGGTGGGGACACAGAGCCAAACCATATCATTATGGAACTGGGGGTATTGGTACATCCAACCATCTTTTCTTGCCTGCTTCTCAGAGGGTCAATTTTAAAACTATTTGTATCATTTGATAATTACAGGTAGTATACTTTTTGGAAACTGTGGGCCTAACAAAATTATCACTTTTTGCTCCTCTTGGAATTTTGCCAATAAATTGTGTCTCCTTTTTCCTTAATAAGTCAAACGAAAAACAAAATAAACACCTTTCATTGAGCTATTCAACTTTTGACTTGCAAGTTTCTTTACTCTTTGACTTCATCTTATTTAAAATGATTCATGGATTTCATCTTTCAGCTAGATAGTTCTCACTGCCTTCTATAGTAGATTGGAATGGCCTCCTGCCTGTACAAATGGTGGCTTTTTAGAATGTCTCTTTCCCTAGTAATGAGTGTTGCTTTTCTCTTGCCACACCTTTCCTTGTGCTTTCCCGAAATCCCCTTACTCTCCAAGAACCCAAGCTGTAGAATTTAGCCACTTTATCTTAGGAAAACAGTAATTGCCTTTCTCCAAGTGGCAGACTATCTTCTGGTCTGTGAAAGTCACCTCTTAGGGAGGGAGGCGAGGTTTCAAGGAGGCTCACACCACAGAGGTAGCATTGCCAGCTGCCTCAGTGGACAGATGTGTGTTGGCATGTTGGGAGGCCACCCCTTTACCTGAGAACCATAACAAAGTGAATATGGAGAGCCCGCCTGGGATCGTCACAAGCTCAACCCCATAAAGTGTTTTCTTTTCTTTTCTATTTCTTAAGAGTAGTAGAGATGAAGCCTAAATTAATTCTGGTAACCAAATGTATGTTTCTGAAAGGTAGCTGGCTTTAAAATAGCATATATTGTAATCCGTGTTTGTGCAGCAGTTTACATTAACGAAAAGCACTGGTTTGTGAATGGAGGATTTGGGATTTGAAATTAGATACGAGGGCAACCTTGGAGGGAGGGGATAGGCTTTAATTTTTTTTTGGAGGCAGCCCTTGAGGCAGGTGCAGGGAGTGAGTAATGTGCCACACAAACTATGCAATTTAGCCAATGAACGCTAGGTTTCTCCTCAGTCCTATAGTATGGTTTCCCTGCCTGTCAAGAGCCAGCTCAACAACCAAACCCAGATTCCAGGTGTGGTATTCCACAGTCGTTCTGTAATTTGTAATCATAGAAACAGAATGTTCCTCCTCTTATTTCTTCCCTGCCAACAGTTTCTGGGTGGGTGAATGTCAGTAGCTGGAGTTATTTTTAAAGAAGAGAGGTGAGGCTTGCCGTGCAAAGCTGGGAAGAGGGCGTTTGTTTGCAGAGCAGAGCTGACATCAAAGTGTAGATTACTGCTCAGTGGCTAGGCACTTGTCCTGTAACAGGTAATGTTTAACGTGCCAGTCTCAAAGATCACAGAAACAGTGTATGCCCGGGCATAAGATAGCACAACCGTGTATGCTCTGGAGGACTGAAAGGCTGTACAAGCCCTATGTATTTTTTTTCAAATATACATATGCATGGGTCTTGCTACCGCCTCTTTTGCCGACTATAATTGGACTTTGAAGCTTCGAAGTTATAGCATAAAAATTTGTAACCTTTGTCTGAGAGAGAGCTCAGCTAAGCAATCACTTTCCACTTCTTTTCACAGGATAATATAAACGTTTTCTTGAAAGCTTGTGAACAGATTGGATTGAAAGAAGCCCAGCTTTTCCATCCTGGAGATCTACAGGATTTATCAAATCGAGTCACTGTCAAGTAAGTTTCAACAGTTTGTTAGATATATATATTTAAACTTAGGGCTTATAGCTTAAGTGAAAAGAATTGCTGAGAGTTCATGATTACAGAAAAATTCTTCCTCTCTCTGTTTTCCTCTGTTCTTATTCTAAAAGAGACTGTTTTAAAAATGGCTTAGGGACTGTGAATGTGAAGCTGTTTCTAACTCATAGCATGGTCTTACTATAAATCTCTATACCGACCAAAATGGTTGTGTTAATATTTTAATACGTGTCCAACATGGTAGTGTTTGGTTGCTAATGTTGAGGATACTTATTATACTTATAAAGTGAATTTAGGGATTATATTATAACTTGCAGAGTAATAACAATCTTTAAATTTTTAAAATATATTTTGAATTAAGACATAATTATTAGCATAAAAATTAGATAGGACAGTGATAAAAAAGAATCTCTTAATATTGTGAAGGCAGCAGTGCCTGGGACCAACATGTAATGCCAAGGACCCTGCCAGTTGTGGCTGACTTTTAAAAATGAGCTGCTTTCCACAATTTTAATAGTGTGGATGAGAAAGTGAAAGTGGGAGTGAGAACATGTATGCCAGTATCTTGTTAGATTTTAGGTGGAAAATGTTGTTTGTGTGGGAGTATACAGTTTCAGGAAATCTGGTTTTAAGCTCTTATGATATTTATTTATATTTCCTGTAAATCTAATTTGCTTTCAGGCAATCAATAATAAACTGTGTTACCAGATAAAGCTGACAGGAAAGTTATTTAATTTATAGTAACTATCTCTTTGTCATCCTGCCTCTTAAACCTAATTAACGTTTTTTTTTTGCAAGGGAGAAAATAAACACCTTATTCTAGCTATAGAAATAATGAAAATGGAAAAATCGGTTTCTACCAGTTCAAAGATTTAGCTTATGTGGTTAATATCCCTGTGTAAAACCTTTAATAGTTATTTTTAAAATTGGATGACCAATTATTTTTTCTGAAGAAAAATAACCAGCTATGTAAATATCTTTGAATAGTACACATTGTCTTCTAGCAGTACATAGAACAGGCCCAAACCCAGGTAGACTTAGTTTTCTAAAGTCTAACAATACATGTTTTTAAATGAACACTGTTTTGAAGCTGCTTCTAGTTCTGTTGAATAAGCTTTTCTAAACTCCATGGTAATGAAATGTACATGGAAGGGATAAATCTGCCTGCATTTCTGACTAATCGAAAGATAGTTTAGAGGTTCTAAATTTCATCACCAAAGTGAAATGTTTGCTTCTATAGTATGTAGGAGTCATGTTTACTTTCCATAAAAATTAAATATTTGGATGTATTTATTTTTCCTTATCAGCATATTTCTTCATAAGGCCTATCTGATGGGCAAAGAAACTTTAGACTTTGAAAGTCTTTTCCTTAAGTTGTTGATGCTTGTTAAGCGTTAACGCGCTTCCCCCTAAAATCATGTACTCTGTTTTGAAAGTCTGTAGCCTATATTTGAGTAGGCTAAGGACTAGGCGAAACATGTTTGTTGGCTCCCAAGTCCAAGAGTGCTTGCCTGGAGCCTGTTTCATGAGATGTTGGGCCTAAAATGTTTCAGACAAATTAGTATCTGGGTTCAGCCTTCAGTGAAATTACTGACAAACTGAAACTGCGAGGTCACGTAGTTATAGCCGTAGTGAGAAGTATGCAGAACAACTTGTTTCAGTGGAAACCACAAGTTCGTCAAAGCAAGGTGTGCCTAAGTAGTACCTGTGAGAATGCCTGAGTGGGAACCTTGGCTTCGCTTGAGAACATTTCTCCTGATAATTCTATCTCATTGGACCAAAAAGCAAAGGGGTCAACCCTGGGTCTGCTGCAGTGGAAGCACTGGAGCCTCCCAGATGAGACACAGGAAAGTGGCAAAGCAACTTCTTTAAAAATGTTGTCCAAGCTCTTATGCCCTGAGATAGCACTTTTACTAAAAGAACCAGATTTAAAGAAAAGCAAATAATTGCTTACTAAATAGTAATGCATTTTAGCTTTTTAAAAATATATAATGTGGAGACTCCTTTGGGTCAAAATTCTTGTCCTATCGTTATTGTGGATCAAAGGACTTGGTGTTGGTTAGATCAGTGGTTCTCAACTGGGGGCAGTTTTGGCAACCAGGGGATGTTTGGCCACGTCTGGAGACACTTCTGGTTGTCATAGCCGGGTGGTGGTGCTACAGGCATCTAATGGGTCAGAGATGCTGCTGAATACACTTTAATGCATGGGATAGCCCCCACAGCAAAGAATTTTCCTACTCCAAATATTAATAGTACTGGAGTTGAGAAACTCTGGCTTTAGATTTAGAATTTCTTGTTTATTCCCTCCCTGCCAGCAAAATAGTCATGTGGAAATGAAGGATACTGACTATGACCCCTTTGACACTCTACTAAAATATAACTTATTATATGCGGACACAATTTATGCATTTCTGTGTTAGTGTGTTTATTGTCTGTTTAAGCGGGAAGACTCATTGTAACTTGTCTGAGAGTACGGTAATATGTGTGAGTACTTTGAAATTATTTTGCATATCTCTATGCATTAAATTTAACAAGGTGTAGCAAATGATTTGATTATTTAAAATGCTGTATTACAACTGCCCAGACCGCATCTACCAGTGCATAGACTTGTTGTCCTTGCTGCAAACTTGATCTAATCATGATGCATACTGAGAGCAAATAGGAAAGGACAGTCGCTATCCTCCGTGTTGGCAAATGTGAGGAACTTTTTTGTTAGTGGTCAGCGGTGATAGTTGCTGTATGGAGCCCAAGGAGAGTTGTGTGTGTTGAAAATGAATGGCAATAGCAGAAGCAAGTAAAGAGCTGTTGTTAATGAATAGTTTCAATAATCCAGGACTCCAACTATTTTTCAATTTTCTAGCTATCTGAAATTTGCAATTTAATTCACAGTAATAACTTTTCACCAATCAGAACCAGAGTATTCTCCATATTTCTGTAAATTATCCTATTATGTGTTCTAATTTTCTAATAATTCTTTTACTTTTGTAGGAAACAGTAGTTTTAATTTTTTCAAATATGTTTGAATTATTCTATTTATTTAGGGACTACGTGTATTCAAGCATCAGGTGACACCTTTAATTTTGATATTCCTGACTTAATGGGTAGGATCCAACCTCTTTTCTTCTCGGAATGCTAATAAGCAAATTTATGATTTAGTCTCCATGAACGGTAGATTGAGATCTACCCCAGTCTGAGGCCATGAAATCAATCTTTTGTGTGGATGAAAAACTGGATCATTATTCTTAACCATTTACTAAACATCCATACTGAGCACACACTCTCCACAAAGAAAACGTGGTGAAGTTCCCACAGAGCCATCTGTGCAGGCCTTCCGTAAAAGGGCTGTAGGAGATCAAGCATAATGGCCCCACCAGCCTGCCACAGCACACTGGAGAGCTCCTCTGGCAAGTGTCATGGTCTTTGTGGAGTCATCTGGTCGTTAAGGGAGATACAGAGCAATGGCTTGTAGTCAAAAGCAACTCGACAGAGTAGCCTAGAGGTCCTGTATTGGAGAACTTGAAGTTGGCAGAAAGATAGGGTTTAACCATTAAAGGTTTTAATTTTATATGTCTAGCAATTTGACTCAGAAACTAAGTCTTGTATTTAAACCATTGCTCTATATATCAAAAATTTTAAGCTGAGAAATTGAACAGATTGTAAACATGTTTCCTCTTTCCACCCCCTTACCATTCCAATCCAGTTTTTAGCACGTCTTCAGATACATTCTGTTCATAATATCCATTACAGGGTGGCAATGACTTTGAACACTATTTGTCGTGCAAGGAAATTCTTTTCTAGTATAGACTTACTCTATTACCTACAGGATTGATATTTGAAGTATAAAATATAACTTTAAGTAAACATTGATATTAAGTGAGTTTGTTTTTGTAAGTCTATCAAAATGAAAGTACAGAAATTAAAAATCTATTATCTTTACACATGATAGTTGCCAAAGGAACAGTAGTTGGAATCAAAATTAGTGTTAACATATTCCCATCAGGAAAATAAAAGAGTCTCAAAATGATGTTTTAAGGATGTAACTGTTCGCTAAAGCTTCAGAAGAGTGCTTGATTTTGTGGCAGTGCTCTAAAGTCATTTCTTAGGAATCAGGTTCCCAGATGGCACTCTGTTTTAACAGTCTGCCAAATTGGGCTTGAGGTATGAAAGTGTGTATGTGTATTTAAGGTTTATTCATATAAGTAAAAATATACCTAGTTTGAATTATTTAATTTTTGCTTTTTAAAATAATTGAGACCTAGTTTTGCTTTTTTTTTTTTGCAAGTACATGTCTTTCAAATGAGTTTCTCAATATCTTAATTTTTTTTTTTTTTTAAGCAAGCTTAATGATATCCAAACTTGGACCTGCAACTTGAGCATAGTGACTTCCACCTGTCAACTCATGTGACTATTTAAAAATGTACCCTTTCTGCCAACTATTAGAAGAGCATAAAACGAAAAGGAAGTTGATTGCATTGTATATATCTCTATCCCATTCAACCATTCTCTGTTGTGAATTGCTTCCTGGAAGGGGAGGAACATTAATTCTGGGTGGCTGAGGCTCTGTTTAAGACTATCAGCAAAAATGTATGGTCAAATGTGGAAATGCTCTTTAATGACAAAGTTTGTATATCTAAGAGTCCTAACTGCAGTGAAAGGTTGTGGGATATGAGGCAGGTCTGATGCTGGGACAAGCCATGGAATAATTGAAGTTTTGTCTGTATCTGTTTTTCTCCATTTCTAGTTCTTAATCTGTTTCTCAGATAGCCACGTTTCTGAATGTCAGCACTTCTTCCTTTGCTCTCTACTCCTTCAAATCCAAAAAAGCCCTGGGGCCTTATTCTGTCTTGGCCTGCTAGATGAGCCTTCATGCTGTGGACTTCCCTGGCCGGGGTCTACGTCTTTAAAACTATCCTATCTTACATTCATTACTCCGAAGGGTTTCACTTGGTGGCCAATCTAAATAGCAGTTGACATGAGAC